GTAATAAGTAGATTGGGGAAAATTTATTTACTCCTCACCTGAGATCACCCTTCACCATCAGCCCGATGGTTGGCAAATGAGGTGCCTGCTTAAATAAGGATACCAAAAATTATGGCTCTAATTGACTGTTCAGCTCACCCGTTCATTAAATAGAATCAAGTAAATTAATGTCATTGCGCTTTGAGTGGAGAAGTGACTTTTATCCTTAGTATTTACGTAGAATCTCCCCAACATTTTTGGCAACGCTTTATTCAACTTAGTGATAGTATTATTGTTTATATTTTTCTTAACTTCTTTTTAATGTTGTAGCATCTTAAGACTTTTCAATGTGTTAAAGAGGGCAATTTGTGGAGCTGAAGAATCGATTAAGCCTGAAATTGGTCCGAAGGCCATCCCATTACAAATGTCTTGCATACTTGCATCGTAGACAAACTGCCCTTGTTGGAGCCCTCAGCAATTTAACCTCTTTTTCTATGTGTTTTAAGCATTTGGTAACAAAACTCTTATGACCGTTTTAAACCTCTTTGTTAATATCTTGACTTTTTCTACAGCAATATTTTTTCCATTGTCTTAAAGGAACCTCTTCTATTTTTAGCACAGACCCCCAGTAGACGGGTTAGGAGAGTTCCTTTTTTTCTAGCTCCTAGTATCACTTTAATGAATTTACTATTCCAAATAAATCGCATGGGAAGTAGGGAACAATGTTAATGCCACTAATTTTGTGTCACTGCCTCCTCAATCAGTCAAGAAGTAGATTCACTTTCTTCCTCCCCATCACAATCAATATAGTCCATGCTGTCAAGATGTTCCGAGGATTGGCCTTCGTTATCTGGATTGGAGTTTTCTGTCTCCTCTGTCTCCTCCTCTTTGGCATTGTCTTCGCTGTCTTTCGATTTTTTGGTTTCGGACGCCGTCTTCTTCGCCTCCTCTAGTACTTTCAATTCCTTACTCCAATTTTCCTTATTTTCTTTTAGGTGACACACCCAGGGACGTGGAACTGGGACTAAAGCACCTACAAAATTTTTGAGAAGAAAATACTTTATTTTAAATTTCGTGTTTATGGGATCGAAACATCTTTTTTTACTGGCTTTGGCCTCTACCAATCAGATTGCTAGTCTTGACGCTTAGCAAGCACCAATTAAAATTGAGCACGTCCCCTGACTTATAAATATCCTTGTTTGTGATGCTAGAGGAAATACAGCAAGCATGTTCTTTGTGATGTTGTTCGCAACTCCCATTTATGGTGATGGGGCTCTCAGCAGCTGACAGTCCATGACTGGAGAATT